TGGTTCAGCGACGTGCAGCCACGATGGCCCCAGGAGGCGGCTCTGGGTTGCAGGGGGCTCTGGAAGCGCACGCGGCTCCTTGGGCTCGGATTCCGCCACGGCTTGAAGGCTGTTGCTCAGTGACGTTCCGAGCTGCTCCCAGGACCTGGGGATCTGGGGACAGCCTGAGGTCGCATGTGCCCGTTGATGTGGGGACATGCTTGGGGGTGACCGATGTGGAAATTGCGAGGTATTGGTGTCGTTTGGACCCCACTCTCCCTCAGGCACCTGCACACACAAGGGGCCCCGTGGCTTTGCCCCCCGTCTGTTCCTTACTCTTGATTACCTGCCTCGCAGTGCACGGCACAGCTGGGGTCTGCACAGCCTGAGGGGTGATGTGGACGCGCCCTGCGGGCAGGTGCCATCATGGGAGCTCGTGGGGTGTCAGCCCTTAGACTGTCTGCTCCGCTCTGTGTCCCGGGACCAGCCCTGCTGAACGGGGTCCGCCGGGACTCACACCGGCCCCCAGCAGCCAGGGCTCCTGGAGGGAAATTCTTCCTGGCTCCAACCACATCCCTGTGCGGCGTGAGGGGCTGCCACAGTCCCCATCCGGCCTCTGTGGCACTCCGGGGTGGGGTGGTGGTGCCCCAGGTCAGCCCCTGGGGCAGGCGGGGGGCCGGAGCCTGACTGTGCCCGGGGGGCCCCTGCAGGGACCTGGGCTCCCTTCTCCAGTGCTCCCGGAGGGAAGCCGCCGGCCCCCTGGGCTGGGAGGTGGGGCCTCGATGGGACCGACTTCTGGGGGAGAATGGGCTGGGATGCAGCCTTCGGCGTGTGCGTGTGTGTGTGTGTGTGTGTGTGTGAAGCATGTGGGTGCGTGTGTGTTTGTGTGCATGTGCCTGTGACACTGTGCCCCATGTCCTTGGGGGCTGTGGCCCTGCCCCCTGCCCCACCCTCCGGGCTCGCCCACCCCTGCACATCAGAGCTGATGTCCCTCCTCCCCGACCTGGGGGCAGCAGAACCGTCTCTGAACTCAGATCCAACAGGCGAAATTACAACCCAGAGTGCCTGTTGGGTAATAAGTCATGTAATGAAATCTTCTGCCACAGCCTGTGGGTCGTGGACAGAGCCTGGTAGAGGGTGAGGAGGGGCACGTGCGGTGGGCGGGGCCAGCTGTCCTCGGGAGGCACTGCGGTCCGCAGAGCAGTGGCCCTCGGTGCCCCCCCCCCCCCGAAACTCCGTGGGTCTCAGCGTGAGTGGCGGGGTCAGCGTGAGGGTGGACACGGCCCAGCTGTGCCACCGTCTCTGTGTGTGGCCTGCTGCATGCCTGCCTGGGGCCTTGAGTGCCGAGGGCAGGCCCCTGCCCCGGCCCAGCGCAGAGCTTGACCCCTCTCGGGAGGCCCTGCCCGAGAGGCTGCCCCGGGTGCCTGAGCTGATCTTGGCTGGAAGGTGGGCTCCCGAGGGCCCAGGGCTACCCTGGACCGTCCTGTAGAGCCCCAGCCAGGCAGGCGGGCCGTGGGGCCACGGGGCGAGGGGCGGGGCTGCTGAGCCCTGAAGCAGCCCCCTCCCCACAGAGCCGGCAGGGGCTCCCCAGGGACCCTCGCTCAGAGGCGGCTCAGCAGGCTTCTTGGAGGAGTCAGAGGGCTGGCAGGTGCCCTTCCTCTAACCGTCGTGTGCCGTGCTCTCCAGGCTCGGAGTGCCAGCCATGCCCGGAGGAGGCTGCGCATCGGACCGAGCCTCCCAGGGCCGCGGGGCAGCAGCGTGAGGCGGCGGCAGACCCTGTCCCCAGAGCAGCGGCCGCAGCCGAAGCCCGGGGGGGGGGCCGGCTGCCAGGCCCTCGGCTCCAGTCGTTGGCAGGATGCGGTCCAGACCTGTCGGGCTTCCAGAGACTTCAGCTGACGGTGAGCCTGGCATGCCTCTACCCCGGGCAGTGGAAGGGGCCCACGTGGCGCCGCCACGTGCCTCACATGGTCTCTGTGAAGGGCAGGCACGCACCACACTCACTCACATGCACAAGTGCACATGTGCACGCTCAGACAACACATGCACCCAAATCTCATAGCATCTGCACACATGCATGTGTGACACACAACACATGCACGCACACATGCACACAGAACATACCCAAGTCTCACAGCACCTGCACATGTGTACACGTGCATGCACACACATGCACACACAGACAACACACATGCCCAACTCTCAGCCCTCACACATGTGTATGTGTGCACACACACACAGACATGCAGACAACACACGCTCAAAGTCTCACAGCACCTACACACATGTACATGTGCACACACACAGGCACACACACACACACAGACATGCAGACAACACACTCAAAGTCTCACAGCACCTAAACACGTGTACATGTGCATACACATGCACACACACAGACATGCAGACAACACACACACAAAGTCTCACAGCACCTACACACATGCACATGTGCATATACATGCACACACACACAGACATGCAGACAACACACACTCAAAGTCTCACAGCACCTACACACATGTACATGTGCACACACACAGGCATACACATACACACACAAACATGCAGACAACACACACTCAAAGTCTCACAGCACCTGCACATGTGTACATGTGCACACACACAGGCACACACACACACAAACATGCAGACAACACACTCAAAGTCTCACAGCACCTACACACATGTACATGTGCATACACACAGGCACACACATACACACACAAACATGCAGACAACACACACTCAAAGTCTCACAGCACCTACACACATGTACATGTGCACACACACAGGCATACACATACACACACAAACATGCAGACAACACACACTCAAGTCACACAGCATCTGCACATGTGTACATGTGCACACACACAGGCACACACACACACACAAACATGCAGACAACACACTCAAAGTCTCACAGCACCTACACACGTGTACATGTGCATACACATGCACACACACAGACATGCAGACAACACACACTCAAAGTCTCACAGCACCTACACACGTGTACATGTGCATATACATGCACACACACACAAACATGCAGACAACACACTCAAAGTCTCACAGCACCTACACACGTGTACATGTGCATACACATGCACACACACAGACATGCAGACAACACACACTCAAAGTCTTACAGCACCTACACACGCGTACATGTGCACACACACATGCACACACATAGACACACCTACACACACAAACATGCAGACAACACACACTCAAGTCTCATAGTACCTGCACATGTGTACATGTGCACGCACACACACAAAGGAAGGAGGTGACATGCCATGAGACCAGAGATGTAGGATCTGGTTCTGACCTTCCATCCCACATCCTTCTGGAAGTTGTTCCGTGTGGAATTCCTGCACTGTGGTGAGCTGCGGATTTATGCTCTGAAAATATTACGTGCAGATAGATGTGTCACAACACTGTCCCAAGTGGACTCAGGAGGCTGAATCAATACTGAAACACATGAGGTTTAATGTTTAATGTTGAATTTCTTTGGTTTGAATGGTGAGCTGCAGGGGGCGGGGGGAAGGACCGCGGTGGGCGCCTCCCAGGGGGCCAGAGCGTCCAGGGCAGAGCAACCTCTCTGGGCTCCCCGGCCCCGGCCGGGTCCCAGCGCAGAAGTGGGAGCCACGCACCTGGGCAGCCCACCCCCTCAGGGATGAGAGACGCACACGGATGCTATTAACCAGCCTCACAAAGGCAAACAGTGCAAAATACTGTATTTCGTGTGACGGTTCTGCATCTACAGCGTGTACACAGCACAGCATCGGGTCTCTGGCTCCTATCAGCTACGGAAGCAGGCGAATAGGCTGGACAGAGACAGAAACTGCCCGGCGGGCACCTGGTTGCCCGTCTGGCTGACCTGTGAGGACAGGCGGGCTGTGTGGCCGGTCCAGGACATTGTTAGGTTTACAAGAATCCCGGGAAGCAAGGCTCCTTGTGCTCAGATACTGAGCGTTGTTGGCCCCCGGGACCCCCGACTCACCTCCTCGCCTCCCAGCATGCGCCAGCGAGGGTCTGCAGCCGGCACAGCCCCCTGCCCAGACAGCGGGGCACTTGGAGGAGCACGGGGATGCCGGCGACGCAGTGCAAAGGGACCCAGTGCTCGGGTGTCTGGGCAACGCGAAGTCTGTGTGCACGGTGTGTTGTGTGCATGTGCAAACGTGTGCATGTGTGTCATGTGTGCACACGTGTGGTGTATGCGTGTGCATGTGTGCCACAGTCGCACGCGTGCTCCTCAGGGTCTTCCTCTGCCCGTGGGACAGGCCCCTTGCTCCACACAAGGCTCGCCTTAATTGAGTCCGGGCTGTTGCCCAGATGCACATGGAAATGCCAGCCCCCTCTTTTCGGGGCAGGGAACTTTATGGCCCCAAATGCCCTTGTTGGGGTGGGTTACGGTCCCGACAGTGGCTGGCATTGATGGTCGAGTCTGCTGAAGGACACTGGGCATTTCCGAAGGCACAGGGCCCCTCAAAGGCTCCAGCGGGCTTCTGGAGAACAGTGTCAGGCCACTCCCCCTTCCCACGTGCGCCCGGATTGTGGTGACGAGCCCCAGCATCCGTGACGCTTGGGGCCTCGGGGGGCCGCAGGTAGGCCGGGTGCTGAGTGGAGGCTCTGACATGGCCTTCTGACGCGACGGCGGCTGGCAGAGAGGCTGGTGGTGACGGCCCAGGTGCAGAGCACCCTATCCAGGCAGGAGCAGCCCGCCCGTGCCTTGGAACAAAACGTAATGAGACACACACCAGACGCTAGAAAACGTGGGTGGTCTTCCTGCTGTGGCCAGGCTGGTGGGGCAGGCGGGGCGCACGCCGGGCGCTCAGGGTGCTTCCCCTGACAGAGCTCCTGCTTTGTTCCTGGGCGGCCCCAGGGACTGGGCACGAGGGGCTGGAAAGCCGGCGACCGGGACACGACGGCCCGTCTGACCTCAGGGTCAGGGGACACAGACGGGGCCCACAGCATCTTCCCGCCTGGGTCCTTCACGGAGAAGGGGGCACGTGGCAAGGCCTCGCTCTGCTCATGCTCGTCCCCCGGGGCCGCTGACGTGAGGCGCCGGCCCAGCTACACGGTGGTCTCGTTCTTCCACGGGCCTGTCCGGATGTTGCCCGTGCCGTCCGCGCTGAAGGACAGGGCTTGGCACACATCTCCCTGGAGCAGCCCGTTCTGACCAGGCCCGCCGAAGGGCAGGGACTGCGTCCTCCGGAGCATCTCAAAGTGGGCCGGGCCGTGGGCCGCCTCCCGAGCTGGCCTCAGCGGGCAGCCGTAGAGCGCCGTGTCGCTGCCCTCGGGCTGGCTGACTAGGGGGAAGGGGCCGCCCTGGGCACAGCAGGCCAGTGTGTGTGCCCCCACCGGGCCCCGCAGCGAGCTCGGGGGGCTGTCCGTGCGCGAGCTGCGGGGGCTGCCCTCCAGGCTGGACGGGAAGTGGTAGGCATACTCCTGCCCTGTGGCTGCCCGGGGTCGGCCGAAGTAGGGGGGTTCAGTTGTGCCCTGGAGGCAGCTGTGCAGGTGCGGGTCGTGCCCGAAGGGGTCCTCCTCGTGCACGTGGACGTGGGCCGCGTCCTCCATCAGCTGCTCGCAGTGCATCTTGGCGCAGCACGGCGTGGCTGGCGACAGGCAGCTGGCGTGGCTCTGGGCCGCCTGCGGGTTGGTCATCTTGCAGTGGCCGGCGGGTGGGTGGCCGAAGCCCCGCGGTTTGCCCGGACACGGCGAGTCCTGCAGGCAGGCCACGGGCCCCAGCGCGTCCCCGTTGGTGTCGAGCGCCGGGTGGGCGCTGAGCTTGGTGGCGTGGGCGTCGCCGCGAGAGGGGCAGCAGGCCCACCAGCACTGCCACACGTCGTCTCTCTTGGCGCAGTGGTGGATGAGCACGAAGAGCCCCAGCGTCACGCAGAAGGCGCCGTACAGGCAGCTGAAGACCATGTCCAGGAAGTGGCCCTGGGACACGGCCAGCGCCCCGAAGGCCCAGGTGGCCGTGAACAGGAAGAACGTGAAGGCAGCGGCCCGCAGCTGGGCTTTGAGCGAGTGCTCGTTTTGCAGCAGCGAGGCGGCCAGGGCGTCGCAGGCGGGCGGCGTGCCCGGCCGCGCCCCGGGGCTGTGGCCGGCCTCGGGCACCGCCAGTCGCTGCTGCTCCTCCGCCCGCGGCCTGAGCTCATACCTGCGCTCCGGGTGGCGCCGCAGCTGGACGTAGGTGCCCAGGAAGTACACGCAGGTGACCAGCGCAATGAAGGCCGCCGGCCCGTAGAACGCACCCAGGCTGGGCTCCCAGGCCATCCAGCAGCTGCGGGAAGAGAGGGGTCGGTGAGCGGTGGCGCCGGGTGGTCCTGCCGTGGCCGCCTCCGGAGCTCACGGGGAGGTTTTCTCTGCAGCGCGTGAGGTGGCTTGTGGTGGGGACGAAGACTCAGCCACGCCCCCCGGCCTGCTGGCGCTCGGACAGCGCGGAGTCAAGGCCTGGGGGCCCACGCCCACCTCTCTTGGATGATGCCTTCTCTCCCCGCCCCAGAAGGCCGCGGACCCAGTGCTGAGCACCAAGGGCGCGGGGCCGACCTTCTGGCAGCACTACTGGAGGGGCCCGAGTGCCGGGCACTGGGCCTGACCTGTCCACGCCCTGAGCTGACCCGGAGGTGTGGCCGTTAGCCCCGGGAGGGGTCTCTGGCGGGGGGACATGTGGGGAGCAGATGGTGGTCCTGCCGGGCACGCCCACTGTGCAGTGGTCAGGGCTCGGGGAGGCATGGTGGCTGGGAGGTCCCCTCCCCGTGGTCAGGGCTCGGGGAGGCGTGGGGGCTGGGAGGTCCCCCCCCGTGGTCAGGGCTCGGGGAGGCGTGGGGGCTGGGAGGTCCCCCCCCGTGGTCAGGGCTCGGGGAGGCGTGGTGGCTGGGAGGTCCCCCCCCGTGGTCAGGGCTCGGGGAGGCGTGGGGGCTGGGGAGGCCCCCTGCTGTGAGGTACTCACTAGGGCCTGTCCGCGTCCTCCGTTCCGTAGTTCCTGATGTTCGTGGCAGCTGTGACCCCGCAGATGACGAACGGCACCCCTCCGCTGATGAGATAGAACCTGCACGAGGAAAAAGACCGCTCACGGCCTGAGAACCCGCGTCCCCAAGGGCGACCTTGCTTTCCTAGCTCCACAAACACCCACCCAACAGGAAAGCCCCGGCCAGAGCCGGCCTCACCTCTCCTCCTCCCCCTCCCTCCCCCACCTATTTGCACTGCCTGGCCACCCGGCTTCTCAGCTGCTAACCCCAAGCAGCTGACCTCTGACCCCCACCCCCTCAGGTCAGGGGCCAGTCTGGATGGAAGTTGACCCCCATTCTGGGCCTGGCCTGGCCTCTGTGCCGGAGGGGCGTCAGCCAGCAGCTCCCTCTGAGGGCGTTCTGGTGCCCACACGGGGAGGCTGGATCCTGGGAACGGGAGGGACTGCCAAGCACACGGTCCACAGGCGCCCGGCCACTGTGTGCACTGCAGGGGCCACGGCGGCCACGGGGAGTGGGCACCCCCATCCCGGATGAGGGGAATGACATGGGCCCCAGGTCTGTGGGTGGGAGCAAGGTGACCCCCGGGACTCTGTGCTTCCCAGGGTTCTACATGCAGAGAACATGTCCTTCAGAACGAGGACAGACACAGACATTTTCTGACAAAAATAAAACTGAATGAATTTGTTGCCAGCTGACCTTCAAGAAATGCTGAGTGACGTCCTTCAGGCTAAAGGGCTATTATACCAGATAGAAACTCGAAAGAATGGAGAACATCAGACATGCTAAATGTTGGGGCAAATATAAAGGATCTTGTTTCCTCTTAATTAAAAAAATATATACGATTGCTTAAAGAAAGAATTTTAACGCTGCCTAGGGGAGTTGATAATCCATGTACAGAGCAGACGTGTGTCTTCAGCACCGAGTTGGGGGGCACCATCTCACAGGCAGAACCCCTGCGCACGTTTCACATGGACGCGTACACCTGTCAGACCAAAGACAGTGCTGAGAGCTGGTGCACTTCAAACCCCACGGCAACACGACACATTGATAGGAGAAAGATAATAAATAAATTAAAATGAAATGTAAGGAAATTAAAAAAAATAATCCAAAAGAAGAAAATAGGACAGGGAAAGAGGAATGGAAGGAAGAAAAGAAGTACAAGCAGAAAACTGGTGGAATGGAGACCTGTCTCTACCCAGTGCTCCTGGGCTGGACGTCCCTGCTCGGGCAGAGGCGGGCGGGGCAGGTGCATGACAGCACGCTGAGCCCACCCTGTCCATGGCAGAAGCATCTTCCCTCGGAGATGCAGAGCAGCTGGACGATGATGGAATCCGGGGGCCCAGGAAGGCTGTGGCAGCCACCATATCAGGGAAGACAGGCTTGGGGAGAAAGAGCTGAAGAGGCCCACGTTACGGCAACATCAGTGTGGCTCACGGGAAGGCACCCTGAACATACACATGTGCGGTCAAAGAAAAGATTTAAAATATGGGAAGCAAAAAGGACACATGTAGTGGGAAAAACAGGCAACTCCAAAATCATGGTTGGAGACTTAAACTCCCATCTCTTAGCAGTTGTTAAGGCGGCTAGGCAAGAAATTAGTAGAAAAATAGAAGATTTGAACAATTATATGAATCACTTCATCATGACTGCTCTTCATGGACCATCACACCCGGTAACTGATGGTGCTCGTTCCTGCCATGTACCCGTGGTCTACTCACTGTGGCAGATGATGTGTGCCACGAAACAAACCTTGAGCAAGAGGGTTGTGATCATCCAGAGCATATGGCCTGACCTCCATGAAGTCCTGTTAACAATTAATAACAGTGAGGTAACTAGGAAAACCACAAATACCTGGAGGTGAAACCACATACTTCTAAATAATTCATGGATCAAAGAAGATGCCATAAGGGAATTTAGAAAATATCTTAAACACAATGAGAAAGGAAATAACATATTTTTGGGATGCAGCTAAAGCAGGGCTTAGAGGAACATTCATAGCAGTGAATGCTTTTGTGGGAAAAACAGGGAGGCCTGATATTCACTGGCCAGGACTCCACTTGACAAGGCAGAAAAGGAAGAGAGCAGGGTAAACTGAGTCACCAGAACAAAGGAGATGACATGGAGGAGTGCAGACAGCAAGCAATAGTGGAAAACACCAAGCCAAATATTGATTTCTGCAGAAGAATGACAACACTGAGCCTGCCTGGCCGGGCTGACAGGAAGTGGGGCCACAAAGAACCAGCTTCCCATGGGGCAGGGATGACTATTTGTAAACAGCCGTGGCCATCACTTCAGCATCTTAGATGAAATGGCCAAATTACTTGAAAAAAATATAAATCAGCCAGATAGAAAGAAGAATTAGGAAATCAGAAAACTCTGTATCTGGTAAAATCGTTGATTCCAACATTCACAAACATCTAGCAGAGAAGCTTCCATGTCCCTCGAGTGTCACCAGTGAGTGTGATGTGATACGTGTCTAAAGAAGAAATGACACCAATCCATTTTCTATGGGCTTTTCCAGAAAATAAAGGAGGGTCACCTCCTGACTCAGTTTACAGGGCAGCAGAAGCCGGTACAAAAATCAGACAAATGCATGAGAAAAAAGTCAGTGTCCCCCCTCCCCCCGAGCAGACACAAGCCCCTGTAACAATGTATCAGCAAACGGAATCGAGGACTTTATGAACAGGATAAAACATCACAGGTAAGTTTATCACAGAAAGGCAGTGTGCTCTTCATAGACTCCACGTGGTTCGTCATGGAAACGAGGACGTACAACTGGTTCGCAGATGCAGGGACAACACTTGACAGAATTTAATACACATTTTCATGAAAAATTTCAGCAAACTCGGCCTGATGGAATCTCCTCCATCTGCCAAGTGGCATCTACAGCAGAGGCTCTGAGTGCCTCCCTGAGGGCTGCCAGCAGCCGGCCCGGGGACGGCCAGCCAGGCGCAGGGGCCCGAGCGATGCAGGTGGATGTGGCTTCTCTAAGTGGACAGGAGGGAGGTATACGTGCCCGTGAGGTCCAGCGCAGCACACAAAGCAGGGCAAGGAGCCAAGCTGGGCGAAGCTGCAAGGAAAACATCCCCGATTGCTTTTAATGGCTGGAGGAAGGTGTCGCGGGTGAGCGTGTGCTTGGGGATCTGGCCTCGCACCATCCTGGTCCAGAGCTCATAGCTGCGGAGAAAGGTGCCGGCCTGGGCTACATCCATGGACATCTGTGACGTGTGACGTCGTGTGATGTCACCCGCTAGAGGCTGGCTGCTACAGATCTGCTTCCAGCGTGGACCAGGCTCGAGGGCCCCTTAGAACCAGCAGAAAGTCACTTTCCCCTGAGCTGTGCCTCCACCCCCGAGGAGACAAGACCCTGGGGTTCCGATCAGGAGGTCCCTCTGAATGCACAAGGAAGCGCATGCGCAGGTGTCGTGGGGGCAGGAGCAGTGTGGGGCTCGCCCTGCTCTGGGGGCGTGGCAGCAGCTTGTCCCTCTGTGTCCTGGGAAGACAAAGGGTGACATTGCTAAGCTGCGACCCCTTGGGCAGCTTGCTGTGGACCGCCTCCTGCACCCCCCCCAGGCCACTGTGGCCCCCACGACTCCTGTCCAGCTCCAGTGGCTGCAGACTATTCCCAGGGGACCCCTGGGTCAGAGGGACTGTGTCCTCCAAGCCCTCCTGGGTCACACACCCTGCAGGGTGAGGTGGTTACAGCACTCCCACTGCCTCTGGCCGGGCCCCTCAGGCTGGTGAGCTCCTCTTCCTCGGCCAGGGCTCTCCCTGTCTCTGCTGCCCGAGCAGCTCCAGTCCCAAGTTGCCCGACCACAGGATTGCCGGGGAGCTGGGCTCTTGGTGCCAGACAGACTGTGTGGGTGAGGGTGCTGGAGGCCCCTGCTGGTGTCCCACCTAGTGTGGGCAGTGGTGTGGGCAGTGGTGTGTGGGCAGGGGTGTGGGGAGGGGTGTGGGCAGGGTCGTGGGGAGGGGTGTGGGCAGAGGTGTGGGCAGGGGTGTGGGGAGGGGTGTGGGGAGGGGTGTGGGCAGGGGTGTGGTCAGGGGTGTGGGGAGGGGTGTGGGCAGGGGTGTGGGCAGGGGTGTGGGCATGCAGGACATCTGCGGGCCCGGGCCCGTCCCCGATGTGGGCTGCTCTGCACCCGCCTCAGCTCGCCCAGGGGCTGGGGACCCTTTGGGGCTGGTCACCAGTGCACCAGCCACCCCCACCCCCATAAGGCGTGAAGCCTGGTCTTGGGCGTCGCATCCCGGAGAGTTGGTGACACTGAAATCCTCTGGTCACTGTATCAGCAGCTCTGATGTGACCCTACGGGCCCACTTAGGACCAGTCACGTCTCTGTGCTCCATGTCCCCACACAGGGCAGGTTGGCTGGGATGTCACATGGCTCCCGGGGAGCACGGGGACAGTGTCCCACTGAGGGACAGATCGGGGAGCCCAGTGGTGGCCTGAACCAAGGACACTTGACCTAGGATGAAGTGGCACATGGGGTCAGTGGAGTGGGGTACGTGAGTGCACGTGCCCAAATGTGGAGCCTGTCCCTGCCGCGGGCTGGTGACGGCCCCCAGATCTGGGGTGTGCTGCCTGCACGGCAAAGGGACAGGGATGGTCAGGGCGGCCTGGGCGGCCTGACATCATCACAGAGTCCTCGTAAGGGGAGGCGGAGGCCAGTCAGGAGGGAGGACGCCGCGTGGTTGGCTGTGAGCCAGAGGGAGGCCCACGAGGAGCACGGCGCCAAGAAGAGGCGAGACGTGTGTCCCCTGGAGCCTAAGAGGAACCAGCCTGCCCTCACCTGGACGTGGCCCAGGACACCGGCTCTGGTCTGACCGCCAGGACGGTAACAAAATAAGTCACTAAGTTTGTGGTTGTTTGTTACATCAGGGGTGGGACGGGAATACAGTCCCCAGCCGCACACGCCGCTGTCACCACCACCACGTGGGTCCCCAGATTCACACTGCTCCAATGTCACCAATGCCACATGGGTCCCAGCAACACATACCACTCTGATGTCACCACTGTGTCATACGGGTCTCCAGCCATACACCACTCTGATGTCACGTCACCACCACCACGTGGGTCCCC